TATAGCTCACTTAAATGATTACCAACCGTCGTCGTAATTTGTTACGATAAACTACGATGTAATAAATCTAATATTGTCAACTGAACTTGATCAGTACTGAGTTCAACAAAGATCATAAAATATCATGAGCTTTACAATTTAAACTGAAACTTATAATGCAACAAGTACAAATGTACAATATCGTACTAGGTATCTAATAAAATTTATTTTTGCACTTTTGCCCACTAGGTACTTAGATACGAAAATTAAAAATAATTTTGCACTTTTGGGTATCACCGGAAATAATATTCATCAACTACGTACAAATAAAATATATAAATGTGAGGTAAGTAGGTATATCATATTATCGTTGATCGTATTATATATTTTATGAATAATATTACTAATACATATATATATAGTCAGTAAATGATATTGTCTATTGGATGAACAATGACTGTATGGTCTGTTTACCACAAGATAGGTGTAAGTACTTGAGATTCGTTTTAAACGTGTTATAGATCCCACGAGTTTTTTCAAGTCCATTTCTGTCGTAACTCTAAAGTTGTTTCAATATAAATGTTTTCTATAATAAATATTCAAATTTTGATATTGTATTTAATATTTATGCTATAATTGCTTTGCAGGTACGCTGCAATTATGAATTTTTATGCGGTATATACACGTTTTAGAACACTGATGCGAACACGTTAAGCTTATTCCATGTACACACTGACCTAAGTTACATATTAAGATAACCCATAGGTTACCTATATATCTAATTTGTTTAAATGCACTTGCTATGTCAAAACGCGTAATTATTTGAGTTACTGTGTAAATCGGTAAATACGACGATAACCTATACGTCAAAACTGACAATAATGGAGATATATTATGTGCCACTCATCATATAAACTTCCCAAATATTACATTTTGTGTGTACATAATATGTGCACGAATGTCATCTGAATGTCTGTCCCCCACACCACAAGATTAATGGGCAGGTAACGATATATTATATTAACTTACTTAAGCGGATACCAAATACCTACTATTATCATATATATAATTGTGACAGAAATAATCTAACTAATTTATTTATTTTTGAGTATAGAAACTTTCACCGTACTCATTTCAAGATCTATGGCAAATTTTTACATAGATATTAGATGTTATAAAGCTGTTTTAAAAATTTAACAAAAAAATCAGTAAAATTCAATATTACGACGTAGATATTAACATTTAAAGTAACACAATACTTTTGAGTAATGAAACATTTTTTTTTTTTACCGATTTTGTTATATTTAGATATAATATGCTGTCATTTATACAAATGTCAAAATAGGCATAATTTGCAATTTTATTCGGACGTCTGTAAAAACAAAAATTGTTATGTCCTTTATTTACCTGGATCGGGCTAGATGGATAATAATGATTCTATATTCATGCTTTCACTGCGATGATTAATACTCTTTTATATATTTAGTGTTAACAATACCTACCTACCATATAATATGTAGGACTTAGATATATAATCGCTACAAGACGTTAGAGTATTTATGGGTAATCGTATAATATGTAAAAAAAATATTTGTAATTTCAAGTCACTAAGACCCGATACAAATCGGGTAGATTTACAAAATTGTAAATAATATTCTCCGTCGGACATATAAGTATACCTATATAGGTATTTGTTTAATTACGTAACGATGGTATAGGTAGCAGTTTTTGGCAATACTTTATACGTTGTGAAAAAAAATGTGTATTACACGCACAAAATGTACAAAAAGTTTGAAAACTTGACTATTTAATTAAATTTTCCGTTTGAAAATGCAAAAAGTATCCCTCGTATATGAAGGTATAGGTATAAGTACTTGCGCCGGCTAATGTGTTTGAACATCGTTTTGAATGAACACGAATATATTATTTAATATGTATACAGTGTACAACATCAAAGAGTAGCCACAGAACTTTAACAATTTATTATCGGGAATCATTTGGGATGCGATTTCAATTTAAGAACATATATATTCCATTGATCATACCGTTTATTAAAATTAAAATATAGGTTAAATTTAAATTTAAAAAAATAAACGATTATGTACACCATTCATTATCTAATCAATATTATTATTATAGGGACTTCAGTATACTACAGATGTCGATAATAACACGTTAAAATGACTGTTCCGTGAAAGCGAGCCGAGCCGACGCTGTTGAAATTGTTTTATAACTTAAAATTTTAAATACGGGGCACATGAGGGTCATTGTTTAATACTTTATGTACTACAGAACGGACCGATAACGCGCAAATTATCTGTTGGCAGTATAATGTTATTTAAAATGTTCATCACATTTACGATTTCGACATGATAATATATGATAACCGTATTTATTATTATTATAATTATTACATTTATACTTTATTTTAGAATTTTTAATTTTTACATGTTTCTACGAATTCACTGTATATACTTCAATACTTGTTTGTTGAGAAAATGAGAACATATAATAATTATTAACTATTATGACTGCAGAAATATCAACAATCAAATCAACAAACATTATTTAATAATGAAACAATATTACAGTCGATTACAAATTATTTTTAGTCTTAACTCGGAGAAAGTGATAAATTATAATATTTCTACTTCTTCATTGCGTGCCACCCCGGTGTCGATATTGTCTGTTAGGTGTTGGTTTTGACTTTTGAAGTCCTGCATTCTGCAGCCTACATTTTATAATGATTCATAGTTAGCTGAATATAGCTCTTATAATATTATGTATAATGATGTATGTAATGAGCATTAACAACGCAACGAGCTAACTTCACGAAGATTTTGATATTAAGATGTCGTCACTCGTCGAGAAATGTATTATGAATATTGTGATTATAACACGCGTTTAGAATGGTCAACGGTTGAATTACGTAAAACGAAAATAATTATCTATGAACAAAACGAATCGAAAATCGTATTATATGAGATAATAATACACTAATACACCATACACTGTATAGTTGAGTCTGCACCTCAGAAATAACTTATACCGCGCTGAACGAGCCCGGACTTATTTGACGAACTAATAATAATCTTCGGCTTCGATTGGGTTTTTGAATAAGTTGCAGTGGCGTTCTCATGAATTTTCAAATGGGACGGGAGTGTGGATAATTTCTAGTAAAATATTATGTAGTGGTGCTATCGTTTCACCAAAACACAGAAAAAACGACCGATGGTGGGGGGGAGAGTTTAAACCCCATGAACCCCACCCCCCGCGAGTACGACTATGATAAGTTGAAATGGCTAATAAGTAATAAGTGAATAAAAACATACATTTTTTTTTTGTTACGTTCAGTCGAGAGCATTTTTGAATAACGTTGTGAGTGAATAAAATGTCTCTGCGATATTATACATTGTAAAAGTGGTGATTGATCCACCATCAGGTATTCAGGTGAGTGTCTTTGTTAAATATTTGCGGGAGCCGGGTGGTCCCGCAGGGCAAATAACTTTCGTGGGGACGGCGCACGGCGGGACCTGTTGCTCGCTAACTCGAGCCAATTGAACACGCGCTTCTATGTTACTATGTTAATAATATTATATTATTATATTATAGGCATAACCTACCTAATTATTTTTGTTTTATGGGAAATTTTGAAGATTTAGAATGATTTTATGATCGTAAGTAGAATGCGCTTAAAATGGTGTGTACAGAAAATTAATTATACGTGTGACGACGGCGATATTAGTGTGTTACTCACTTCTATAAGTTTTTTTTAGTTTATACTCTAATAGTACGATGATACATTGATACGTGGTGATACTTATACACAGTATTCTTTAATTACTTATTATTTTCAATTCTCAGATGATAGCTACCTATTTAGTAGGTAAATATTAGGCATATGTCAAATAATAATTTGATGTCTTTTTAATTGTTTTTATCTACCTTATACCACTTATGGGTAAAGTATTAAGTAAAGTATTTGTATCTAATAAATGATAGTCATAATAAGGGCCTCAAGAAATAAAAAATTGTTTGACTTAACGACAGGGTGTTTACCATTGTCAACGGTGGCGTAGGTCTCAGCTATACCACACCTATAATTTTCGGAAGAGAAAAATAATTACTAAATATACTTCACTTTAAACCATTGTATGAATTCAAAACCAAAATTACATATGAGTTATGCTAAAAAATCTTCACATGAGAGGGGCAAATGTCCCTGATGCCGCTCCAACAGGTATATGCCACTGGTTGTCACATAGATACTACTGTGACAAATGCATATAACCACGAAAATATGTGGCAATGTATCACTATACAATATTATAGTATCAATTATTGGAGTGTTTTACACTTTTACAGTGTTATAGGTCTATCACCGAGTCGTCGTCGCGCAGGTGTGCATCGATAATACGAGTGACCTCGTTTGTAAAAACCGCCAGAACACATAAAATCACAACCAACTAAACAAACAGTAATAGCACATGTTTTCATAAACTATATCAGTTGATATTGCCGTACAAGTAAACCAATAATATTATATTATACTATTTATACTGCTTTATAATCAACATTGTTGTAAACTGCAGACGACACTCGCTATGTCAAAACGATTAACGATCACTGATTTTTATGGCATTTTAGTAGATTTTTTACTGATTTTAACAAAGTTGTTGAAACCACTGCCAATAGGTAGTACCTATTTGGCAAACACTAATGTTATTATTATGGAGTGAATTACGCTTATGGTGTACATAGGTGTAGGTAAATTAGCTGGTTTTACACGCATACGATATTATATAACATGGTATAATAACAGAGCCATGCGGTTTCTCGTGACGTTTAAACTGCGGCCGAGCGGAAAACTCTCGTGTCAAATAAAATTACGAATACTATAATCATTACCTAATATTATTATAATTTATAAATATTTGTGCACGAATGTAGGTACTGTTCGATAGGAATAAATACTAACGTCACTAATACGTATTTAAATACCATGTGTTTCAGGACTTGGATTATACGGGACTCAGCCACATCGCGAGACCCGAGTAGCCAGGAACAGCGGCCGTGATGTGCCCGAGCTTCACGACGGCGGCCGAGACGCGGCAGCAGTTGTAGGGTCCGACGGTGGAAAGGGGAGGGGCGCGCGCGCTACGGTTATAAGAGACGACCGCGGGGGGCACTCGGCGGCGCGGCGATGACGCGGCCACGTCGGCGGTCAAAGGTCGAGGCGATAACGGCAGCTGCGGTGCACCCATCAGCGGCGGCAGAACCGAACCGAAAGCCATCGCGGGACCTCGAACGCGATACGACAGTGTGACGACGTTGGGCGCGGGGCTCGATCACAAAACGGTTCGCGTAGCCGAAATATAACGTGACCCATCGACGACGACGACGATAACAACAACAAAAATAATAACAGTGATAACAAAAGCGACAAAAATTATAGTTGCAACATCTGTGGAAAAAATTTAAGCATAAAACAATTGTATAAACACGGTCGGGTGGCGGGAGGGCGCGGCGTAGGGCACTCCGCCGCCGCCGGTGCCAGTTTGTCAGCGACGAGCAGCAGCAGATCCGATGCGTCCGGCGCCAACGCCGCCGCCGTTCGTCAACGCCGTCTGCAGCAGCTTTACCGTCGCGTCGTGTTCGCGTTACGCCAGCCGCAGCCGCAGCCGCCGACGCCGACGGACCCGTAACGACAACTCACTGCCGCCATGAAACTCCGCGACCGAGTGGTGGTCGGCTTTTGCCTGTCGCTGGTCCTGGTCACCGTGCTGTTCGTGGTCGACCTGCAGAACGAGAACGCTCGCCGGCAGGCCGTGGCCGACGGCGACGCTCCGTCGCACTTCCATGGCCGGTCCGACAGGTCCAAGGACGCTATCGACGCACAATCCGCCTGGAACGCGGCCGCGTCGTTCGTCATGTCCACACTGATGCCGCCGAGTCAGCAGCCGCCGACACGTCCGGGAGCGCCGCAACCGTATTCGCAGGCCGCCAACGGACGTCCTCCAAAGCCCGCGGTGCCTGACCTGTACGCCGGCGACAGGTTCGCCGATCTCACAGAGCGCCTGTCCCGGTCGTCGGAAACATGGCGGCATCGCGGCAACGTACCCGACTGGACAATCGTCCGGGACGTGATCGTCGACGACACGGACGACGACGGCACCACCAGCAACGAGTACGTCGTCGAGTACTTGGAAGACGGTTTGAGGTAAGTCCTTGCACAAGCCACACGCTAATACTTTCATAAGACTTATTATTCTTTTTTATTCTATACCTATTACCCAGACACGGATATATTATAGGGATGAGGTTTTTGAGGGTTGAACCCTTCCGAAAATTTTTAAAAAAAATACGTTTAAGTATACGTATTATCCACATTGACCTTCGCGATTTTATATAGCTCAATGATAACAAATTAACAACGTTTTGTTTATTAACGATATAAATATATTTAATTTTTTTACTCGTGAACCTCCCCGGAGTTATACGTCCGCACAATACCACAATACACCGCACAATACAATACAAAACTTCGTAGGTAACTATAATATTGATATGTTGAAATATGATAATATAAATTATTGTAATCAGTTTTCTAGATAGCTTTTTTTCGTTATGATTGTTTTACATTTTCATAGAGGTGGATAGGTGGTCTGCAATCATTGCAAATCATATAAAATATCAATGTAAATATTATATATACCTATTACGTAATAACTGCAGATGGGCCCCGCCAAATGCATTCTTCATATCGTTATTAGCGATATTTAAACTTTGAGATTGTCCTCATTGTCATAATATTATGAAATACAAAGAACGGGTTGTGCATTCATGTACGGATTTTCTGAAAAAAATTGTCGAAATGCTGTTTATATTGTTGAATTCGTTCGTCAGCAAACGCATGTGTGGCCATCCAAGACAGTTATAATTTACAAAAAAAAGCACCGATTTCGAATAGACCAGTTGGAATAGGTTACATCGGCGAGCACAAACACGGTGGCACACACTGTATAATGTTATATTATTTTTTTTAATCATCGGTTTTCTAGTATAATGTTAAAAAAAAAAAGCGATAACGAGCACGCCGACGCTCCGTTTCGTGCTGTACGATTTATATTATTTTGTTTCTATTTAAGATTCTCGTCGTTATAGTTTATAGTTTTGTTTGACGATTCGTCATTATTGTTACATTATTAATATATTGTTTTATTATTCGTCAATGTTATAAAATATGATTATTCTGAAAGAATCCGACTGACAATGTGCTATCAGAGGTCAGGTCAAGAAAAGGTCAGATTAAACGCGTTGTTGTCGAGTATAAAATATATATTATTATACCCCAATTATCTTAATGCGTGTATGTGTACAGCTTAATATTTTCAACATGATTAACAATTATATCAATTTATTCATGTGGAACAAATTTTTATTCTATAATATGTATTTTTGACAGCCGATTAGACTCCGAAAAAATTACCAAACACACACATGGTCCGTATCGGTTCTGGAGAAACGATCCACTTCCAAATGTGACTTATAGGAGACAGTAAATAATAATCACAATAATATATTACATTATTACGGCTATTTTGTGCTTAGTTTCATATTTGTGCTGAACCATTATACATTTATTACAACATAATATTACCAACATGTTAACGGTGCATTTTTAATTTTTTTTAATAAGTTTTTAATTAAATCGTTGCAGTATATTATCAAACGATGATAGATAAAAATATTTTTCTAGTAAAATTGTGGAAGTTTATATACACACACAAAATACCTCTACAAATTATATAGACACTTATCATGTAGCTTAGCTTTTTGGTCGTTGTGAATCCAATAAGTATTTGATTAACGTTATTAAATCAGCGGCGGAAGCTTTGAAGCAGAATTGCATTCATTTCCATTTTCTTTTCTGGTTAAAACTCAATAAAATGGCCCTATTAACGTATTGATGTATTCAAAACACACTACTTAAAAATTAAATGTTTCTATTTTTCATCATGTTTTTTTCCATCGTCAAATAATATACGTTACATATTTCATTTAAATCAATAAATAGCATAGACACAAAAATCGTTGAAATAATATATAAAAACGAATTAACCAGAAAAAGTTTCATTTATTTTTTGTTTAATCAGCACACATCATTATTAAATCGTAAATATATTCGTCAAAAGTACCAAATTGAATGTCCAGCACGAGTATAATATAACTGTATATAGTTTTATAATATTGTGAAAAGATTATATTATGGTGTATTTTTGTATTGCACTATATCACTACTCGTATAATATTATAGTTAGTATTATATCGATGGTCCTCAATTTATAATTTATAAATAATATTATGTGTAAATTATTATGGTGTAGGCATTCGTTTACTGAACTATGGAGATCTGAATATCTGATATATGTAAGTTTCGTGTACCTTCAGAATATCCTATGTCCATCGATGTAATACAACTTAAAATTACGTTTTTTATACTTTATTATTAATGTACAGTGCACAAGCACAATTCACACATATCATTTCCAAAGTACTATATTATAAAGATTTTAAGTACTTATAAAAATAACTATTGCTTATACCGGAGTCACTCGTGTACGCATGCAACATTGGTGAAAATTTAGAGAGGGAGATTATTAACCCCGAAAAGTTATCCAAGATTTTCTTAAAATTAAGTGAAAATTAGTTATTATATTTTTATCCTTATGAATATACCTATATTGTTCATTAAAATTTACTTCAAATATTTTCTCAGTAAAAATGTCTCATTTTCTATGAGCTGATTTGACAACCTGTAATTGCTATTCTTTTAAAAATACATTATAAATACGCAGGAAATATTATCACTATTAAAAAACAATTATCGCCACTTAAAAATATAGATATTGATATAAGTATAATACTAATAATTAATACCTATTAAATAAAAAAATATATATTTGTAATGTTGCAACAAAAAAAATTGTATCACCGGTTTATCAAGTGAATCGAAAACATTTTCTTATTGTTTATGTATTTTGAAATGTTAGCCCCCAATAGCTGTTTAATAAATTTCCACCGATGGGTAGGTAACCGTAACACAGTACACTGCTTTGCACATCAAAATCACTATAATATTATAAAAAAAATACTTGTGGAAAAATATTTTAAATATATTTTTTCTTGAACTCTTCTGGACTAAAATTTGTTTAGGTAAGTATTTTTTTGTGTATAAAATTTGTATACTAGGTATGGTTAAATATTTTTTTTTTCTTAAGTGGAGAAAAAGTAAATTGACAAATTCCCATGTAATATAACAAACATATAAACAATAATCAACCTTTTTTTTTTTTTATTAAGATTTTGTATTTTTAAATATAAAACCATAAATAAGTGTTTCAAATAAAATATTTTTTTCTAAATGTATTTAAAAATATTCAGAAAAAATGAAAATGTAGTTAAGTACTTCAAAAGTAAGTAGTTACATACTTACATTATTAATATTTCTTAGCACTCTGGGCACGTGAAGCATGATTATACAGCTGACATCCTGTGATTGTTGACCTTCCTTATTGGTTATTGTTTATTGTCTATTTTCATGAAATATTTGGTTTTAGAAGATCACAATAGATCACACTAGGTATTTACAGATGCGAAATTTGGGTTCAAATTTTTGACAATTTGTTAAATTAAACTACAATCATGAGTTACGATGTAAATTAATGTTTAAATATGGTTCGAGACCCACTAGCATAAATTACATACAATTGTATTATAATATTATATACTATTAAGTTACTATTTACTTTAAAATAGTCAGTCAATCTGATCTCGTTCCGATTATAATGTAATAACTAATATTATTAGTTCCCGCAATTATTTTATAATTACACATAGAACCACCTAAACATCCTAAACTGCAAAGAGTATAAATAAATCTAAGTTTGTGTTAAAACTTTTAAAAATAAATGTTTATCAATATACTTCGGAACTAAAGTATTTGAAGGACGGTTACTATGCGTATAACTAACTGAATAAACTTTCAATTATTAATTTAAAAACTGTTGATTTTGAAAAACTTTCAACTTTTTAGTTGAAATAATAATTTGTATTTTGTACGCATTATTTGGATCTTTCGGTATAAAACACTTATACTAATACTTATTACATCGTAAAGTAGCTGAAATCGAAATCGTGACCAAAATATGTGATCGAATTTCAAATTGAATATTTATCTTTCGTTATTCGATAGTAAATAATTCTGTTGGAGTTTTTTTTTTAAATTGTCTCATCACATTTTTTAATGTCTACCTATAGTATGGACTTCTGATATATATTAAATATTTTTTGGTTAATAAGTAAGTATAGATAAATGAATATTCATTGGTGTTAGGATGACCGTTATGCTAAAATAAGAGTGAATCACCGAAGTAGTTTAAGACAATATTATTACCTTTTATTTGATTACCTTAAAATAATTATTATAAATGCACCAAATATTCCAGTGCTTGGCACATAGTCCTCTCCGAAAATCAACAATAATACTGAGCTAGCCCTGATAATCCACAGCAGATAGGCATAATGTAAGGCATAATGCTTTACATATTTTAAATAAATAGATTTCAATTTATTTTTATTAGATGAAATCATCGGCTTTAGACATTCGAAATACGGAACATAGAAAAAATATAAGTATAATATTTAATATGATGCATGGCTGACATTTTAACATTTGATCAAACATGTAATATATATATTATTATATGTTATTATTTATGTAGGTATCATGTATTAACTAATACCCACCGAAATTCATTATAATTTATATTTTATAATATAAGCTATGGTGAGTGAAAACTCCTATTCTCCAACAATAGAAAACATTTTTATTTAAAATTATATTATAATAAAATAACGCAATCTTGCAACAAGTGAAATAAAGAATTCTCGTGTATCTTTATACACTATATTATTATATAATATAATAATACCTAGTGTTACAGAGTAGAGTTTGTATGGGGCGATTAGCCTCATTAAATGATAGACATATCTTATAAAGTTAAAAGTACTTATGAGTTATGAGTGTTGTATGACTCTGTGCAATGCGCAGTCGCAAAACGAATAATAGAAAAACGTACATATTATTCCATGGTGATCATCCTCATCTCAAGTAGGAATTAAAAATATTTTTTTAATTGCACAATTCGATATTTGTAT